GCCTACATAATTCAGAGAAAATCAGACCATATAAAAGTCATACAGCATGGGTAAACATACGCAGAATAGCCTCTTGTCAAATAAAGCTCTGGAGGAGCATGGCTAACATCAGGAAAAACCATGTGTCTTTCACCTAACTGCAGATGGAACCCCTTGCCTGAATAAAACCAGTATCAAAGACTCGAAACTTTAGACATATTTAAGGAGAATAAATACCAGGGGCTACATAACGTGTAGCCATATGTGGAATACCACATTCACTGAGGTTTTTGATCATAGGGGCTGTAACTTCAGTAGGCATAGTTGATATAGCCATGGACCAAAAGATTCCAGATGCAGCAACCGCATCTTCATCATGGGTTGCTTTGACTTCATCAGATAATTTGCGGTAATAACTTACACCATAGCCTAGCTGCCGCTGACTTGCAGGGATATGCCGTGCACCTAAAGTAACACCAACCTGGGACATGACACCAGGGTGGGTAGGCTAGGATATAAGTTTATATGATTATTGCTTACAGGGTATAGATATAGAATTCGACGTACTCTCTGATTTCGCCTGTAATCACATCCAAAGTCGACAACACCTGCCATCCAGTTGTAGAAAGCTTTACTATCTAGGGTTGGGGGGCTCATGCCAACTCCACGGATAATAACAAGCTTGATACATGCAAATGTGAATGTGCGGTGATCTAAAGTCAGATAATATACCAGATTGTAGCAGTGTAACATGCAATTATAGAAAGACATACCTCCAGTAAAAAACAATACTGATTCTGTCTCGAGAACAGTCATAAAACCATGAGACTCATCGACAACTGCACCAGCAGATCCCAAAGGAACTGCTAGATCATACATCTGTGTATGAAGAGGAAATGGTGCACCTCTATAGTCTCTCTGGACCAACTTCAGCACAGTACCACATGGGAGAATAAATGAAGTTTTGCCCGAGATAATAGCAGAAGCAAGACTATAGGGCTTATGGTTTATTCCTAGGTGAAGAATCTAGATTTCTATATCAGTACAGCGAAGCAAAATGACTGAGATAGATAGGTTGTACAAGTTTTCTCTTTTCATGATGAGTAACCTGATCGCCTGGTTCCTTTGACTGAATGAACCTGAGAAAAGTATCCTGTATGATGCGGGCAGCTTCAGGATTCTTGGAATATGGAACTGATTTGATGTGTCGAAAAAAAATGTTCCACTTTACACTAGAATCAGCAACAGAATATGTAAATATCAAATATTCCTCACCTTAGGAGCTTCCTTCAATCCTATAGCAGCAGAATATCCTTCAAGAACTGAATGACTCTCTTCATTGAAAGATTCAGAATTCAAGGCTTCAATGGCAGCAAGATTTGCGAGTATCCACTCAGTTTCTGTGCCCAATTGTACCAGTTATTTGAGGAGTACAGGTAGAATTAAAAGTACTGACTTAGGACACCCTTCTTGACCCGTTTTGGAGGCTGATTCATGGTTTTATATTGTGTATTTTGTATTAGAGATAGAAAGACAGAGATGGTTCAGATATGAATCCATCGCATCATTCGAGTCATAAGTTCAACTCCGGGTCATATGACACACCGGACCGGTGTACTGAAGCGAAAAATCAAAAATCAAAAAACGAAAAGTAACCTCGACCCTCCCGCCTACGGCACTTGTTAGGAATTCAGCCTATTCGGGATTTCAGAAATAGTCTTGGTCCATCTGAAAGTACCCCCCCACACACACAAAAAAAGAAGAATTCAGCGCCTTACTTATACTGAAGTACCTGTATCAAAACAACTCCTGGATTCCGGAACAGCTCGTAGACTCTCGTAGGGAGGATATCGCCAGAATTATAATATTAATATTTTTATAACTAGGGGCGATTTGGCTTGGGAAGACCCGTCGGAAGGTAGGTGTATAGGCGGGCCTGATCAGTACTATGTAGCAGTATGTAGCTGATTTCCTCCTGATACCTCCTGACGAATCCTGATTCCTGATACCCCAAATCTGGATTCTGGGCACATCGTTCCGTCAATAAGTAGTAACTTGCAAGGGTAGACCAGACCATACTTTATACGTCGTGTCGCGCAGGGGAGAATGATATATGTGTGTATGTATGTACTTAGCTCTATCTCGAAATTTACCCGTAAGTAATGAAAACATTTGGACATTAAGATAGGATAGCGGATGGCGGATGGCGGAGGAACTGTACGTGAAATCATCCATTACCGAATTTTCATACATAGATAGCACACAGTAGCCAGTGAAACAGTTCATCAGAATCATATTCCTATTCCCATTCCTATCCCTATTCATCTTCTACTCTCGTTTTCTCTCCGTCCTGTCCTGTCCTGATCTCGGTCCCACCGTGATGGTGTTCTTGAACGACTTCTTTCTCCTCCTCCTCCTTGTCTTCCAGAAACACGAGGGTGATCTCTTGGAGTTGGAGTTGGAGTTGGAGAACGCCTGGGTGGCAGTCTGGATGTTCGTCGAGGGGTAGGCGACCGACTTCGACTATCCCGATCTCTATGCCTATCCATTCCCCTGTCCTTGTCCTCTCTTCTTTCCGAACGATGTAGACGGTCATCAGGATACCGGTTGAAATCTGCATAGCCGTGACCTCTGTCCCGTTGGTAGTCCGAGCTGTAGTCCCGGTCTTTGACTTTGCGTTTAGCTTTCTCTTCTTTCCGTGCACGTTTCTCCTCCTTCCTAGCGCGTCTGTCCTCCTTTCTTTTACGTTTTTCTTCCTTCCCTATCAACCGTTGTGGATCGACCGGTATATTTCCCGAAGGAGACACCTCATCTGTAGCTGTAGCTGCGGTTCCGGTTGCAGGCGTGGTTGTGTTCGTGCTGGTAGTTGCAGTTCCGGATTCAATTTTGGATGATTTTGGTTCGGGTGTGAATCCTCTGAAGAAGGAAATGGCGTTGATTGTCAAGTTAAATCAGAACGGAAAGGAAAGGAAAAGGAATGTTTGAAGCGTACAAAGCAACAGCAAGCGCATCTGCTTCTGCCTCTTTGATTTTCTTTATCTCTTCCTGTCTCTGGAGTTCAGAATCATTCGAGTCCCTGCTATACCAATGGACGTCTTTATTTTTCTGCCAGCGTCCTGTGGGGGCATTGATACTGTGGCCTAGATAGTTCTATTGGCGTAGGATGGGTCGACAAGGCGAAGAATGAGTCAAGATAAACATAATTATTGGTTGTATGTGTTGGAAGGTTCAGGGAAGGTTTATTGACGTTATTAGAACGGCTTAGTTGGATATAACACAACCTCACCTCTCTGTCTTTGTCCGCAGATACATCTGTCCATTTGAATTCGGCTTGCCCGCCTCTTGTGCCTCCGCGGATTGGTTCGAACATCGTAGTAGCAGTTCAAGCCCAAGTGTGATTATTAGGGTTGGGGTTTCTAATCCACGTGCTCGTAATTTTTTCCCTTTCCCTTACTTTTCGTCCCCAACTCCTAGAGATCAACAGCAGGTTATCAAACTTCGACTTCTGCTCCCCCAAAATGGACGTGAACGCCCGCAGACTGGTTGGCATCGGCGCCGAACGCGTATCTCACGTCTCGAGTACCGATTTCCCCGGTCATTACCCCAACGAAGATCATAGTTGGAATCTACAGTTGTTCAAACAGGTCCGTTACAACTTATGAGACAGAAAAATGAATCGGCTTCTTCGATTCCGTTGCTCTGATTTCATTTTTTTTCGAGTCCATAACTGATTTATTCCGCCAGGACAGAACCTCACAGTCGAAATCCAACGCCTCTCCCAACGGTCCATCGAATTTGATATCATTGGAGTAGATGCAAGCATCGCCAATGCTTTTCGTCGGATAATGATCGCAGAAGTACCTACGATTGCCATCGACCAAGTTTACGTGTTCAACAACACTACTGTTATCCACGACGAAATACTTGCGCATCGACTAGGTTTAATCCCTCTCAACGTCGATCCAACACATATGGACATGTTGGAAGAAGGAGATACACCGACGGATAGGAATACGGTGGAGTTTAAGATTGATTTAGAGTGTTCGTGGAAGGATAACAAGGGGAAAGCTTCGGCTTCAGGTTCATCGACGCCCACAGACGACGAACGATACGTCAATCACCAACTTCTCTCTAAACACCTCCAATGGAACCCCGCAGGGGAACAAATAGAGAAACTCAAAAACGCTGGTCCGTTGAACGGTGATATTGTCCTAGCGAAACTACGGCCTGGTCAAGCGGTAGAAATCGTGTTACATGCAAGAAAAGGACTAGGAAAGGATCATGCTAAATGGAGTCCGGTGGCTACTGCGACGTATCGATTACATCCGAATATCGTGATAAAGAAACCGATTCCGTTCGAGAGAGCGGAGGAGTTTCAGAAATGTTTTTCTCCTGGGGTTGTGAAGGTTGATAAAAAGAAACGTGAGTAGGTATTACTAGTAAATAATCACCTGGATTGTTTGTTGACACAACATACTCTCTCTCCCTACCTAGGTACCGTGAAAATTGACCCTAAACACATGCGAAACGACACCGTCTCTCGTGAGGTTCTCCGTGACCCGGAATTCAAAGACTCTGTCGAGCTAAGCCGGATTAGAGATTGGTTTATTTTTTCCGTCGAATCTGAATCGGCGTATAAGCCGGAACAGTTGCTTCCCGAGGCGATTGTGATTATGAAAGAGAAGATTGCGGCGATGAAGACGGCTGCGTTGGGGTTGTTGGGAGGCGAAGGAGGAGGAGGAGGAGGAGGAGGAGGAGGATTAGAGGGGGTGCAACAGAGGGAAGGGGAGGATGTGGTTATGCAGGAAGCGATTTGATATGGATTGTTCATGGAAGTAAACTCGGCGTGATGTTCGTAGCAGTAGTAGTATCATAACAATAAAAAAACTCTACTGTCCTCCTGGACTCGGTCTTACGTACCCAACTGATCCACCACGGAAATTTCACGTTGAGTCTACAACTACTTACTGTAAAACATTTTCTTTATTGTAGAAAAAGGAGACCAATTCACCAGCTATGCATGCATTAAGAGGGAATCGAAAACCCGGCGGGTCGAGATTTGAATTTATGGCAACGACCCAGGTTACCACTACCCCATTAATGCGCATGACAGATGGGATCCTGATTATATCATATGATAACAGAGCAACAAAACAATGTATGAAAATTCTCTCAATATCCCTGATGATCCCCACTCACAGATCCTCCGTCATCCGCCACCCGCCATCCGCTATCTATCTTAATGTCCAAATGTTTTCATTAAAACGAGTGTCCAGAAATAATTTCGAGATAGTAGAGCTAGATACAACATACTTACATCACTCTCCTCTGCCGCGACACCACGACGTATGAAGTATGGGTCTGGTCTACCTTGCAAGTTACTATTGACGGTGTGATGCGCCCAGAATCCAGATATGGGGCATCAGGATTCGTCAGGAGGTATCAGGAGGAATCAGCTAGTACTGATCAGGCCCGCCTATACACCTACCCTCCAACGGGTCTTCCCAAGCCAAATCGCCCTTGTTTATTGATTTTAATTCTGGGAATATCCTCCTACGAGAGTCTACAGGCTGTTCCGGAATCCGGGAGTTGTTTTGATACAGAGGTACTTCCGTATAAGTAAGGCGCTGAATTCTTTTTTTTGTGTGTGGGGGGGGACTTTCAGATGGACCAAGACTATTTCCGAAATCCTGAATAGGCTGAATTCCTGATAAGAGATCCTAACGGGCGTCACAAGTGCTGCCAAGTAAGTTGAGAGGCGTAACAAGCCGTTGCAGACCCAATTTAAAAAATAATTTACATAAGAGATCCAACGGGCGTTGCAGGGCGTTGCCCAGTAACTTGAACTTGAATCCTGAAATCGTGCGTGATGAGAGGCGTGCCGACCCTTTACATGAGAAATTCTTTTTTTCTATAAAGAGGTCCAAATTGTGGGGTGTATCGATTTGTAAACTGCTGGCCAGTTCACCCCCACCAAACGCAAGATCTACAGTGTTCGTCTGATAAGGAATGTTCCTCAGTAAGAGCATCAGCTACATCCTCATTGGCCTGGTCGCTCTCGCACAGGCTGCGGCTGCTCCTATCACACAGCGTGAGGTCGCGGCTCAGGTTCCTACCAATGTCGGTGTTGTTTTTTTTCTCTTGTACATCCGGCGTACATCCGCGCATACACATTACTAACTACTTTGAATTTTCTCCAGGCCGCAAGTACTCCCGTGAATGTGGTTCGAGTCCGATTCACAGGGATCCTCGGTGGAAACGAGAAGTCAACCAAACCCACAGTCGACACCAAGATCATTCACGAAGTGCACGAACTCTTCAAAGAATACCTAAAAAGCATAGGTATCACCACCTCCTTCGAAATCCAATATGAAGACGGCTCCCAAGATCCTATAACCTGGTTTAGCCATGATTTCGACTTTTGGGGTGAAAATGTTGGGAAGGATTGCAAAGAGGACCAGGATTTGCGGCACGGAAAGAAGGGATGTATGGTTGCGTTCAATCGTGCGTCAGCAGGGAAAGAGTGGGCTACTGTGTTGTTTGATATGAAAAACTTGTTTACGGCGCATTATGATAGACAGACACAGGCGTTGACCCTCTAAGGGTTGTAATTTATTTGCAGTTCGCCCGTTTATTGTCATTGTGATTTGCATATATGTTGATCATCATCACTAAACTGGCGGATCCCGTCATTTCCCTAGCATACAAAAATCCAAAGCGAAGCGGGACTCGTTCTCACTTTATACTCGTTGCTTCTTGTCTTACTCGGTCGATACGCACCACGTACCATACCATACCATACCAACGACGAACGAATGAACAACCACAACACCCAACCATAACACTAGAACCACAACCACAACCACAACCAACACCCAAACCTCCCCACACTGGGCATCCCGACTCCACCCCGAAACCATCGTACACGTCAAAGCCATCATCCAAAAACCCAATCTCCGAAGAGGCGGGGAAAGAATAGAGGGAACATCAGTGCACGATGTGGAGTTGAGGATATTAGAATTACATCTGTTGAGTCGCGTTGCGGAGCCTGTGCCGTTTATGGTGTATGATGACTACAGCGCGGACTACCAACGAGAAGAGAGGTCATGACTATGCAGATTCCAAGCGGTATCGTCTACATCGTTTAGAAAGAAGAGAACAGGATGACAAGGGAATGGATAGGTATAGAGATCGGGATACTTAGTCCAAGTCGGTCGCTCACCCCTCGACGAACCATCTAGACTGCCACCTAGGCGTTCTCCGTCTCCAACTCCAAGAGATCCTCAGAAAGAAGTTCGAGATAGAGCTAGATACACATACATCACTCCTCCGCTGCCGCTGCCGCGACACCACGATGTATGAAGTATGGTCTGGTCTACCTTGCAAGTTACTATTGACGGAATGATGCGCCCAGATATGCGGTATCAGGATTCGCCAGGAGGTATCAGGAGTTATCAGCTAGTACTGATTAGGCTCGCGTATTTACCTATGTAGGACCTCCGATGGGCCTTTCCAAGACAAATCGCCCTATGGGAGCCTATGGGATCCTATGGTAACGAGTGCTGTGTGAGTTGAACTTGAATCGTGAATTCCTGATAAGAGGCGTAACAAGCGCTTGCTGACCCTTGAAAAAAAAATTTCCTTTTTTTTTTCCTATAAAGAGGTTGAAACTGTGGGATGTATCGATTTGTAAACTGCTGGCCGGTTCACCTCACCAAACGCAAGATCTGTAACGCTCGTCTGATAAGAAATGATCCTCAGTAACAGCATCAGCTACATCCTCATTGGCCTGGTCGCTCTCACACAGGTCGCGGCTGGTCCTATCGATGTTGGTGTTGTGTTTTTTTTTCCCTTTGTACATCCCGCGTACTTCTTCTTCTACGCCGTGATTACTGGCATCCGCGCATACACATTACTGAACTATTTGAATTTTCTCCAGACCAGAAGTTCTCCCTCGGATGTGATCTACATCCATTTCAGAGGAGATCTCGGTGGAGGAGTCGACCACACAACCAAAAGCATCCCTCACCGCGATATCGCCCTCGAGATGGACCTAATCATGAAAGCATACCGAAAAAGCATAGGTATCACCACCCCCTTTCGATTCGAATATCAAAACTCCTACAGTGGTGATATATCCTGGAACGAACATAGTTTCGACTTTTGGGGTGAACGTGTTGGGGAGGATTGCAAAGAGGAGGATCCAATGAAGATAAAGAACAGATGTATGGTTGTGTTTCATTACACGGAAGCAGGGCCTCCAGATGATCGTAAAGTTGATGCGGGTAAAGATTTGGCTACTGTGTTCTTTCGTACGAAAGACTTGTTGACGGTGCATTATGATATACGGCATCAGGTTTTGACAGGGTGAGCCTGTCTGCCCAAGGGTTGTAATTTGTGTAGAGTACATACAAGCCAGCCTGTTGGCCACTGAACGAAGGAAAACAAAGCCGTTTGTTTTGCTGTTAGAATTCATGTTTCAAAGTCAAATAGAGTGGTATGTACATAGTAATATGGCGTGAATTTAACTCTCCTGCCAACTGCTGTGTTTGTCCTTGACATTATGTCGTATGTCATAGTTCACAACCAGCAAATGTTTCATACCCTTCTCGGCCGAGATAGTAGCCATCATTGTTTCTGGATCGAGCCTGTCCCTTTCTGTATTCCCATTATACATAACCTCACAAGATCTTTCATTCGTCTCGCAATCCTCACCGACCCCTTCTCCCCAAAACTCAAAGTCATGTTCATCATCATCTATCTCCTCATCGTATCGGTTCTGAAATAAGAACTCGAAGGGCTTGTTGACGTTTATGCTCTGTCGGAACTTCTGTAGAATCAAGGTCATCTCTTGTTTGATCTGAGGAACTGGGCAGCCTGTTCCTGTGTGAGATCTGTTCAGAAAGCGGACGTGGATTTTGTCCTTTGCTTGTCGACGGATCCAAGAGCTCGTGGGGTGGGTCTGACGACCTGGATAAGTGACAGCGGTCTATGAAAAAGATATTTGTGAGTGGTTTTGTTCGTGCCTCGATGCCCACAATGGGGCCCACTTGGGTATAAGAAAACGGAAAAAAGAAAAACTCACATCGACAGGAATGGCATATACTACCGTGACAGCGACGAAGCCGAGAAGGATGTAACTGATACTGAAGAGCATTGTGTCGTGTAGAGGGCAAGATTGAGAAGAATAAGAAAACTTGGAGAACGGACAACTTCGTGGAACAGATAGTGAGTAGTGACTGGCCAGCAGTCTACGGAAATTGTGAAATGGAAAAGGTTTCTTTAAAATGTGTTTCACGAATCGCATATATCTTTGGTTGTTGGTATTTCTGATCACACATGGGAACAAATCTTGAAACAGGCTCAGTTCAAGCAAATCAAGCAAATACAACATCCGATCATTGCTTACCCTTGTTAGAGACGAGAGAATTGGGCTGTATCGGTCCGAATCGAGGGACGAAGCAACTTCAATTTATCTGAGCCAGCAGTGTACAGCAAAATGGCTCAAGTTATGAAAATTCGAACTGCTGATCAATTGAACGGCCTCTGGATGGATAGCATATTGCTTCGATGCACTAAATAATTTCGTTGTACACAATGGTTCTGATGACTCGGGATAAGTGATTAACGATACATATTACATGCTGATATCTATCTAGTATGTACATACACAAAAACATGTTCGCAATTGGAATTCAAAAAGCGATACAGTGACAGTAGAGGAGTGCCTAGGCCCTATACACAATAGGTTTCTTACGATTGGACATGAACACTTCTCCACTCCGCTGAAATCACATCAACTGCTCGACGCGTTTCTCCAAGATCACCTGTGAACTTCAACTAGATGCTGGTCCAAGATTGAAGAAAACCTATGTATATGTATGAGCTTCTCCATACCTAATCTACCCGTCCAAATTTGACTCAAACATATCATCACCACGTTTAGTTTATGATGTTCCTGGAATCCACTCTCCAACACCATGCTGGCCAAGCTTTCCAGCACAGGCAGATGCGTACCGACCTCTATCCCTTGCCTACGATTTTGGTCGGAGACGCGAAGCTCGGTGGGATATCGACAACGATAGCAGCGTATGAAGTCTTGGT